TTGGGGCAAATGGCTGGAATTTTTTCCGGCTTATGTAGAATTTCACCCCTTTCAGGCAAGTGAACAACCACAATAGTGCTTTATTGTGGTTTTCCACCGAGCTTGTGCTGGTGAATATATCGTCAAACCAGACGTGTAGGCGTCTGCCTACTTCTCCTCGTAGTTCCCAGGTCAGTGCATGCTGGAAGGTGCAGGGAGTGTTGCAGTCTCCTTGCTGCATCATGTTCGAGTTGTACATCCTGTGGGGCGTGGAGAATGTCATCCTATGGACATCGTCTGGGTCCACCCGTATTTGTTCGTATGCATCTGACATATCGATCTTGGATCGGTATGTTGCTCTGGCGACTGATTCTTGGATCAGTCGCATGTCTGGCATTGGTGTGACGTCGAGGATCGTGTTTGAGTTACGATTCCTCGCATCTATTACCATGCGCAAAGATCCATCTGCTTTGCGGATGCACAGTAGCGGGCATGCTCGCTCGCTGTTCGTGGGATACCACCATCCTGCTTTTACATAGCGATCTATTTTGGTCGCTAGTGCTTCCTGCAGTGCTGCAGGACATCTCGGGGTGTTTTCCCGAAATTTCTTGTTCGGATCCTTCAATGGGATTCGATGGTTCACCTCCCTCAAGGGAGGCATTTCTAATGGCGCTGGCGCCATTACGGTTTCGAATTTTTCTCTCCACCACTCCCTGAGTGTTTCAAACTCAGGGTTGTTCATGGAGAGACCTTCCAGGTGTGGTATGTCTGGAAGTTCTAGTCCTTCTGGACTAGGATTGGGCCAACCTTCAGGGTATTTTCTTTTGATTACCCTGAGGTGTGTTTCAATCCCGCCTCCCTGTCAGGGGGGCTTCTTTTTTGGTTGTTCTCAAGCTCTTGCTCGAGTTTTCCATCTGTGTGATCTCGTCACATGGTCTTCACTTATTCCAAGGGTGTCTATGTTGCCCTTGTTCACCCTTCTCACTTTGTGGGACCGGAAGTCTAAGCTTACCTGGTTTTTGTTTAACCAGGGAGCACCGAAGATGGCGTCATATCTGTCGATGTTGATTACATCAAAGTAGTGTTTTTCTATGTGGCCGTTGATCTCAACATCCACGTTTGTTCCGAACAGGATCTGTGATCTTGTTCCTTTCATCCCCATTTGAAGGATGACTGGGTTCTCCAATTGGAGAATTGGGATGTGGACCATGCGGACAAAGTCTGGCGATGAAGCATCTGTTTCAGCTCCACTATCGAATAGCACATAGGCTTTTGTGCCTGCTATTTTTATGTGAGCCGTTAGCGTTCTCTTCGTTGAGAGCGGTCTGTTTGCAGGATATTTTCCTGCATCTTTTGAGATGCGGAATTTCGCATCAAACAAGGGGGACTGGGTTTCGATGGACTTTTGGTCCTTCTTCTCTTTGTCCTTGTTTTCCTTGGGTACTTTGGTGTATTTCCCCAAGGCATCTTTTCTTGGTGTTTCCACCAAGGCTTCAGCGACTTTTTTGTCTGCCGTGTTTTCTAACTGGCGTGCTACAGCCAGTTTGATTTTGTAGTTTATGTCGTCGTGATCGATGACTGACATTGGGCCCATCCTTATGGTCCCAACGTTGACTTCCTCACCCTCTGAGTCGGGTGAGTATTGAGGTCCTTCGTATGGGTCCTCTACTTCGAAGCTTGATGCTTCGGAGTTACCAGAGTTGTTCTCTGGTTTCTCATCTGATGAGCCTTTCGACTCTTCATCCATTGAGGTCACGATCTCCATGGCAGCTATGCGCCTTGGTTTTTCATCGCCCGTTACATTGTGTCTTGGGCAATCTTTCGTTTGCCCTATTTTGCCGCATTTGCCGCAAATTGGAACTGACTTTTGGTCAGTTTTCCTCGAGTTTTTCGAGGATGTATCCTCTTTCCATCTGGGTTTCAGCTCTTCCGCCTTTTTTCCTGATGGGAGGACTCTACCGCAGCTTGTGGTTGCCATGGTAGTTGTTCGGGTATAGTAACCTGATTTGTAGGCTGAGGACATCTTCAGCCCGTTGATTATCTTGTCTACACGAGATATTGCTTTTAACATCTCCTCATTTGAGGAGAAGTCTGCTCTGATTCTATCATGAGCAATCATTTCCCTCTTCCATTCGAGGGGAATGTAGTTTAGGAACCTGGCGTTGAAGGATGCCTGGTCTGGTGGCGTCACCATCTGGGACACTGCTTTGGACAGTTCTAGGTAGAACTGTTTTAGGCCTTTTTCCGCTTCATATTTGACGTTGCGGTACTTCTTTGTCGCATTCAGCGCGGCAGAGGCTTTAATGAAAGTTCTCATCAATATGTTGAGAACTTCGAGGAACATGCCCTCGTCTCCTCTGAGGAGAGTTTCATCTCGGAGTCTAATTCCGAGGTCAAACGCAGGCCCCCCTAATCCATGAATCAAGCAGTCCAGGTGGACTTTGTCGAATTGGGGACCTTTGCATCCTCGTGAGGCGAGGAATCCCAGTAGTTCTGTGAACCACTGCCAGAACGATTCCATGTCGTTCTCCCCTGACCATTTCTTCTCAGGGAATGCCGGCCCATTCTTTAGGGCTTCAGGCTTCACTCCTTCTGGGTAGGGAGTGAGTATTCTCACTTCGGCCATTCTTATGGCCTTTTCGTACCATTTCTCCAGGTACTCTTCTTTCTCCCCTGCCTTTGTGGGGTCGCTATCCAATGGAGATCTCTCCTTTGGGGGGGTTTTTGCTGGGGGAAATCTTCCTCGCAGCATTTCTTTGGTTTCAGGCAAATTTGCTCGAAGTTGTATTTGTATTCTCTCATTGTTTTGAGAGGGTGTGATTGAGTTACCTCTCTGTTCGAGAGGTCCGTCATAAGTGGATGTTTGGCCGAACCTTTGGTACGTGCCAATTCTCCTCCTAATCTCTGAACGATGCCTTCTTTCAGCATCATCTTCTCCTATCCTTGGGAGAAGGATCTCCTTGGCGTCTCTGTCAAGTCACTGATGATACCCCAGCGTGCCCTCACTGGTGGTTCTTTTCGTGAATTTTTCATGAGTTCTATTTATGTCCTGGACCGTGGTCCAGGGGTGTTTATTTGTTTCCTCACTTTTTTGTGAGAAATTTATTTCCTTCAGCAAGTCTGTTTGTTCGCTGATTTTTTCAGTCAATGCATCTATTGCGTTGGCCATTCTTTCTAGAGTTATCTCTAGATGAGCCGTACTATTATGGTTCATTTCCTCGATCTTTTTTTGGATTGAGTTTATCGCGTTTATTATGCGCAATTCCTGGTTTTCCAGGAGGAAGTTTGGTTGGGCGAGCAGAGACTCTCCCCAGTTGACATTTCCGCTTCTGGGGGTTCCAGAATGGGTTCTTGGAGTGAACACTCTACACTCGCTTTGTTTAGGTGAGGCCATTGCAGAGGGTGCTTCCCATTCATAGAGGGGTCTGTTCGCTGGTTTTTCCTTACTTTTACATAAGGCTTCCTCGGCAAACTCCCTCATTTCAGTTCGCCTCCTCTTCATTATCTCGGAGACCTCCTCCGAGGTTGGTGACCTTGCCTTGTCTGGCATGGTGTGTGGGAGTGTAAACTGCGGAAGTTCTTTTGGAGCTTCCGCACTCTGGGAGATCCTGCTCTCAGGGCGTATCTTCGCGCCTACTCGGGCTTTTAGCCTGAGAAGAAGTTGGTCTTCACTTTCCATCCTCCATTCAGATGGAACCTGGAACAAGTCCAGTAGTTTTTCAGATAGCCGACGCGGGGGCTCTTCCCTTTGTTTCCCTTTGTCTGCCTTTGGGGCTTGACTTGGGGATGTGAGGGGGGACTCCAGGGGATAGTGGGGCCCTGGAGTTTCCTGCGACTCTATCCGATCAGCTTTTTGGGCTGATTGTTCGGCGCTTACGCGTTTTTCATGCAAGTCGATCACCTCGTGTGGAGGTGAGGGATCTTCCCCAGCTTGGGTTAGATCGGGATGTCGTGGAGTTCTGGGGGTATTTGGCCCCGCACTTACTCCACGTAAGTTTCTAAAACCTTCAGGGACTAGCCCTGAGGTGGTTGCTAATGCCAGATCATGTTGATCCTCGTCGTCGTCTGACGATGGCTTTTGGTTTGAATCTCCCATCATGGGAGATTGCGGTTTCTTAATAAACTGCTCGTTTCTTTTTAGTGTCGCTGCAGATGCGACTTTGCCCTTGCGGGCATGTTTAGGTGCCATACACGCTACCAAGTCAGAAGTTAAGATTATGTAGTTGTTGTGGGTTGTGTTGTAAAACACACCTCATACACTTAAAAAAGTGTGAGGTCTTTGGGTAGCTCAGCACACAAAGCCGTAAGTGATACAAGAATGTGTATTTTACGGTGGTGTGTAAGCAGTTCCCTGGAGGTTCCCGCTTACCCACGTGACTATATGTATCTAATTTACATATGACTTGGGGTTCGGGGCTATTGCCCTGACACCCAGACCGCTTCCAGGAACTTTGACAGGTGTCAGAGGCAGTCATGGAGCAGCTGGATGGTGCTGTGGACAAGTAATACAACAGTATCTACCACCTTGGACAGCTGAGTTCGCACCGTGATGAGGTGGAAAAGTCTAGGGAGATGGTGCAATGCAAGCGGGTCGAGCTGGAGAGGGAGGAGAGGGAGCTGGATGAGGCAGAGGAGTTCAACCACCAGCTTCACAGTATAGTGGAGGACATGCTTCAAGAGGACTCTACAGCTATGAATCGGGCAAAGGCCAGGTACGACGAGCTTCCCCCAATCCCACCCCCAACAACATCGGGGACACACAGGGTTATGCATTGGAGCGGATGATGGCATCGTCGGGGGATACTACATCTTCCCCCCCTTCCCATAATTCTGGCCATGATGATTCTCTCCCTTCCTTGGTGCCCCACAGTGACATCGACCTATTCCTGGATGACCTTCAGTTCCAAATGCGAATAATGTTTAAAAAGGATTTGCCCGACTATGATTGCTGGAACAAGGCCCACTGAATGAAGGATTTCCTCTTCTGGATGGTGCAGGATCCCTTGATATCTAGTGCCATCATGGATGGCAAAGTCACTGCCGAGGACATGACGAGCTTGGCCAGCATCCCCCCACCAGCACAACCCACGTCGTCATCATCATCACTGCAAACAACCCCTGAACAATCCTCAAGGAAGAGAAGATGGTCATCGTCCACTTGTCCAACCTCGAAGAAACTCAGAAGGGCCTCTGACCAAATTGATGACAGGGCAGTCATGCTGAGACCCGATCGCTGGCATCAAGTGGCAAGTCGAGTGTGGGTGGGAACCCCTCCTTTGACCATAGGCCCACTGCACCGTGATCACCAGACTCAAGGTACTGCTCCAGTGGGAACACAGCAGGATGACTGCGACGAGGGTGCCACAGAGGATCCATCCTTGGATGAGCCAGATGCTGCTGGATCCATGCTGGAGGAGTTACCTGATGCTGCTCTTCCTCCCTTGGATGCATGCCAGGAGGATACATGTATGTTAGACAATCTGTACTCTCAATGCCTGCTGAAAGAGCTGCTCTCTGATGGGTGGGAGTGGGATGCTGATTCGATGCCAGAAGACCTGTGGATGGGACAGGATGGACCAAGTGGGGGTGTGATGGTAGTAGAATCACAGGGTGTTGGATATGAACAGCAAACATCGCAACGCTCTCAAGTGCCTGGTACTAGCAGCAACCACACTTCTCAGTCAGACCATCTGCTGGGGACCCCTGATCACACGATGCTGAATCATTACATAGGATATCAATATTGGAGCCAGGAATGGCAGAATGAATAGTTGTGTATTTATTCCTTTGTTGTCAGGGCCTGAGCATGGAATGCTATTGAAAAAAAAAAAACCGCATTGCTGTCTGATGCAATGGTGTGTGACAGTGTCCCACCAAGGAAGACCTTCCCAAGTGCCAGTTGGGTATCTGTCAGGAATGCGTATCCAGAGTGTCCGTAAGGGTTGCATGTAATCACCTGGGCTCGTAAGGTCAGAGGGGTGGGAAGTTAGCTTCAGCAACTCGGGTGGAGTGCTGTGCTCGTTCTTACACTGGTGTCCCAATTTCGGATGGGAGCCTTACGACAAGAGGTAGAGACGAGGGGGTAATGCTAGTCGATATATGAACTGAGGTGCATCCAGTGTAACCTACATGAGTTATAAGTACAACTAACTAAATAGGACCGGAGTGGGCGGATCAAGAGACAATATGAAGAATAAACAAATGGTTGATATCAGCAATCATCAACGCTTTTGATCTTGTCTTAACAGCGGCTTAAACCCACCCCAAACTCACTCCCAATGGCTTGTGTGCACACCAGATGAGACGCAACAGAATAGCATGGCAACAGTCCTGGCCAATGCCAGAACCTCTTGAAATTGAAGATGGGAAGCCAGTAATTAACAGGCAGGAGACCAGGGATGGAGGAGGGTAACATGAAAAACAAGGACAACGAGGAACAGGAGGAACAAGAGCAGAGTTACAAAGAACAAGGAAACAACCGAAGATAACGAAACCTGGAATAAGCAATCGGGATCCCACCTGCTGAGAGTAACCGAAGGTCACAACACCTCCCCCTCAGCGAGACCGAAAAGCTTACTGGAAGCAAGGAAGAGTAATAAAACTTCGACAAAAACACAGCTTGCAGGCCAAAGGAATGAGACTAAGAAAAAAGGGAAAAGCAGAGGATGAGGTGAAAGTGGGCCAGAGCCCTGTAGTATAGGCAGACAAAGAACACGCACAGAATTCGTCCAGAGAAATCAATCCAGGAATGCAACAGCAATAAACCTGAATCAGCATGACTGCAACCTCGGAAGGCACAGTATGTGTAAGGCCAACAGCGGGTACGGCGCATAAGATGTAGCATCACCGGGGAATGTGCCAAGCGAATTCAGACCGATTGCACACAAGTCTATCTCATACCTCCATTAAATAACAACAAAAAAAACCTCTTGGAGGTGCCATAGAGACTTTTTGGGACCAACTATCTAAGCAGGAGGAGAGTGATCGGCCCTATGAAAGCAAGGAGGATTGGGAACTTTGTTATTGGTTGAGCACAGAGGGTGTCTCACAAGGAGGGATTAATCGCTTCCGAAAGCTTAAATGGGTGCATGAGCCTAACATTCCAGATAAATGATCGCTACCAACTGTGGGATTAGGTGACAGGCTGTCCACATCCACCAGGATGCAGCTTCAATGTACAATTGGGTGAAGACGATGCCAGGCCCACCTTCATGGAGGTCCGATACGAATATCCTCAAAGAAGCGCCCAATGAGCCACAAACACTCTACTGGCATGATCCCATGGAATGTGTGCACTTCCTAATCCAGAATCCAGACTTTGATGGGGGTATTGCCTATGCGCCCTCATGGGTGTATTGTTTGGATGGAACACAGGTTTATTTGGAGATGATGATGGCAAACAAGTGGCACTTTCAGCAAGTAACTCACATCATTCCAGTTAGAGTCCTCAAGCTCACAGCGATGTTTAGTGATTTATTCATGGCAAGATGGATGCCATACATTTCAGGTATCATCGGTGGCATGGTGGAAATCTACATGGATGACTGTTGAGCTACTCGCTACATTCCCGGTTTGCATTGGGGCAATCGAGACATGAGAGTCGACGTCCTTGGTAAGCTTGAAGCTAATATCTCAAAAGGAAAGTTTAGCTTGGGTTTAGTGCTTGTAGACTTGGGGACACAGCTTCGCAGGAAGTACTGCTAGCTTGACCCAGTGTCAGTTTTAGATTGAGTTAGTTGGGACCAGGGCCTCAGTGAGTCCAAAACCCCAGGTGCCCTTGCAATGGGTGGAAGGGTGGATGGTCTGATGATGATAATAGTCAGTGGCACTAGGGTGGGTTGGCAGAGTTGTGACAGCTCTTTGCCAACTTTCCGTAACTTGCCCCCCCCATGGGAAGATTCTAGGCGAGCTGCTCACCCAGAAAGTTCCCACGGTTGTGGCTGTGATGGTTTCTGGGCAAGTCGCTTGCCCAGAACTTTCCCACAGGTCTGTGCATTCACAAATGCATGGATGCGCTTTCCTTTCACTGTCAACCACGGCTGTAGCAACTGTACATTCATATTTCACTTCCTCAGAGTGCATGATAGTGTAGCAGTTATTACTATTCTACAATGTGAGAGTCTTGGAACAGCAGGTGCCATTGAGAGGCTCTCAACATGTTACAACACTTGGGTAGTTTCCAACAAGGACCATTTGGGGGCTCCTCAAAATACTCATCCTAGGCGTCAGGAAAGCCTGGGAACTGTACAGTTCTTGGCTCTTTGCAGACTTCCCATAACAGGCATCCCCTGTGGGAAGGTTCTGGGCGAGCTGCTCACCCAGAAAGTTCCCATGGGTCCATGTGCATGTGGGGTCAAGGGCCATACCCTGACATAGTGGTTATGTGTGGTGCCATGTACTGCATGCAGCAAGAGCAGGGAATACAGTGTCTGTGAGAATAAAAGCAAGTGGACATCTTCACTTGCCTGCCGTGAGAAAAAAAGCAAGTGAACATCTTCACTTGCTTGCCGTGAGAAAAAAAGCAAGTGGATATCCTCACTTGCTTAAATCCTCCTATGCACCTGCCTTTTCCATTCAATCCTACTATGACAATAGTGCAAGTGGACATCTTCACTTGCTGCTGTGAGAAAAAAAGCAAGTGAACATCTTCACTTGCTGCCATGAGAAAAAAAGCAAGTGGACATCTCCACTTGCCTGCCATTGTAACTGGGCAAAAGAGCTGCCCAGGCAAGAGAGTAGGGACCTGGGGGTAGTGTCTGAGTCAGGTTGGAAGATGGGAAAGGATGGGTGGCAACAGTGCCGATACTGTGCCGTGGTCCGGGTGCTAGAAAATAATCAATAAAATCTCACTAATCATGTACTCACTCCTGGTCCTTCTTGGACAGTCGTCAGGAGGCTCTTTAACGTATGGAGGGATCGCTCAACACCACATTCTTTGTAGCACAGAAGAGGGGTCCAACCATGTAAATACAAGATAAACTGGGCATATTTATAGAAAAAAAGGGAAATCAGAACAAAAAATAAGAGAAATAGGCGATAGATGGTGGCAATGGGAACAGGAAGAATGTTAGCAGCTTGGCTAAAGAACAATGAGGCAAAAGAAGTGAACACAAGGTGACAATGAAATTAATAAATGAACCCATGACATCAATATCAACCATTAATCTCGCTTCTCCACCGCGTATCTGTCGTCCTAACTCCCGTCCTGTCATTCCATCCTTTTCTCCTGATCCGTCGCTGTCCATCGAGCTCAAAATCATGTGAATTGGTAGAGATTTGGGGGAGATATGGGGAAAATGGTAGATAACCGTGGATTTTGGGGAAGTGGCAATATGAGTCTTGAGAAAAAAGCATGGAAAAAATTGGAGCAAAATGTTAAAATGTGTTGTGGGTGTTGGGATTGTGTTGTATGCTTGAGGGTGCTCGTTGGAGCCTCGAAAAACGTGTTTCTGGCCTTGTTTGTGTGGTACTTGCTGTGCCCTCCTACACTGTGAGAAAAAAAGCAAGTGGACATCCTCACTTGCTAGCAGTGAGAAAAAAATCCTACTATGCCATTCAATCCTACTATGATGGTAGTCGAGCCACTTGACTTTCAGAACCAATTCAGTCCTTTTCATTCAATCCTACTATGCCGTGGGAATTTTAAGATCAATTCAGATCATAGTTGTTACAAAAATGGGGCCGGAAGCGCCCATTTTCGTCCGTTCTGGCGCAGGAATAGGGAAGGGGGTTGGACATAATGGTTTACAGGTGGTTTCACAGATGGTTTGACATGTGGTGTAACAGATGTTAGCACAGCGGGTTTTTGGTTGATTATTGATTGGTTAAACTTAATTATTATACAAATCATGTGATACAGAACCCATAAGAGTCTAAAATGGGAAATTCCCATTTCCATAACAATAGTAGACCTACTATGATGGTAGTAGATCCCTTGGGATTGCCATTCTGGGAAATGCTCCAGAGGTGAAGAAGGGTGGTAGAGCATCACTATCGGGTGGAAAAACGGCTGGGTTGTGAGTGTGGGTATGGAGGTCTGGAGAGGGGGTGAAATTGGCGGCATGGTTGGGCGTGGGAATTTTGCTTGGGGTTGTCGGGAATGATGGAGAAAATATGGAAAAATATGGAGTGAGTGTATGGAGTGTTGGATAGTGATAGAATGAGTATCGGGAGCGTCAGCGGATATGTACTGCATGTTGGTGACCAAATTCCACAGAATCCGACTTTTTGCGGTACACGGAGTTGTCCCCACAACAACAACACCACCAACAGAGCCCAGCACACCAGAAAACAAAGCCAAAGGTAGGAAGTTTCCCACCAACTATCGTGATAATTCATTCAGTTTATGCACAGCATTACCGGAATTGGGTGGATACGATGATAGCAGCGAAGGTGAATTGGGTTTGTTCCCTCATCATCACTGTCAGGGCCTGGCCTCTGTCCAGGGGCAGCCCTATCTCAGAGCTGCATCAGCAAAAGGTCCTCAGGGTTTCACTTCAAATGGTTTGAAAACAATTGAGTTCACTTCTGAACTGAATTGAAACATGACACCTTTACTTGGGAAATTGGTCAATTCGGCCAGTTTCATTGTATTAGAAGCAACAGGATCATCAGAAGTGTCCAAAGTTGACCGCAACAATTTCCTGATGTGGACACTTGCGGTGTCCCAGGCAGCCAGGTGCTGGATCCTACCCCAAGCTCCTCAAACTCACTAAGCAGGGATTGAGTTGTTATGTATTATGGAAGATAGCTACAACTTGCCTAAGTGGGGATTGAGTTGAGAAGAAGGGTAAGTTTCCCTATTCCCCGCTTGGCTGCTATAAAAGGGAAATGTACTGTACAGTTCATAACGTGACTAAGGGTAGGAGCTGAGCATGTTCCCATGATGCAGAAAAGGTGTCACATGGGTTAAGGTGAGTTGCTCGCCTTGACCCACGTGATTTTTCCCACGGGTTCGTGTGCGGGCTGTAGTTGTGAAAGGTGTGTAAAGATGGGAGGATGAGGGAAGTGGGGGGAGGTCAGGGAAGGTGGTTCTGAGGTTGTATGGTCAGGTGTGGCTGCCCTGACAATCACCTACATCCTGTGCATAAGCTGATGATGGTGCCAACAGTCCATGGCTTCTTGGGGCCCAAGTTTGGTTTGGAACACTGGCCAGTGGCACCAGAAACATTGACCTCCGAGACAAGATGTTTGAGGAGAAAAGATGGCAGACGAATCCTCTTCACACGTATCGTGAAGGAATTGAAGGAGTTATTGCTCCTTCGGAGTATGCAACTGCACTTCCAGGGGCCACCATACAAATACCCTTTACACTTGCATGCCACTTGATAGGATCTCGCACTGGGAAGAAAACAATTTTCTCCACACATGTTGAAGAGATAATAATCCTCAAAAAACCCGCCACTCTTGTCAGTAATTGTACAGATTCTGGATTGCCATCTAAGCGGCTGTTCTCCAGACCATCCTTCTCTCCCACAAAGCAACGGAAGCTTGAGAAATAGGTATGTTTGTCTCAACCCCACCAATGAAGGGAACCACTCAGTATTTGCCTACTCTGCCCCAGACCTAGCATCTTATGGCATTGCGTGAACAAACTCATCCACGATTCAACTCAAAAGGGTCACATATGTTCACAAGAAGAGCCTTTTTATATTCATTCACGATGTTCGCTTGATAGTTCTGCATCCCATCCCTGATCTTCGATTCAACCCATATGTTTGTTTGCTAGTATTGCTAATTTTCTTGAACTGACATGAGTAAATGTTGCAACCTCCATTGCAACCTGTGAAATGTTCACATGATCCACAAGCAAGGTCATGGTTGCGAAGCAACCTTTCTAGTTCATACCCCATCATTCCTATATCACGCGACCACATGCATTCCCCCCAAACGGGACATAGCCACCTGATATCCGGGCTCGGATAGATATTTTGCCTCAAAACACAATAATTATTCTACATGTGATAATGATTATGGGTGACACATTTGCACAATCAGCCGGAAGTAATTCAACTAGTACTACAAAATGACCAATGACCAGCATCACAAGCTCCGCCAGGGTACATACTCCTTACAGCATCCCGCATAAATTCTTCATCAGGCTCAAACATTGCAGGGACATCCTTTGACAACTTCAGCAAGGCATCATATGTTCCGTCATCCTGGGACCGAATGGTGCGAAAAGTCCTTGAAGAAGCCCCGGCACACCAAATATCAAATGAGGTGAAGGCACTCGTGCGGACCTGTTTCTCTTGCCTTGATGGCTGCACCCGCTCAGGTGGCATTATAACAGAAACTTTGGATTCCTTCGATGCCAGTGCATTCACCATTCGAATCACTGGGGGTGGTCCTGTCGACTTGGCAAAAATTCCAAGTTCGAACGGGTCCATCTTGTCAAATAAGTGTCCCGTCGGGCTGGTCCCGTAAGAGTGATCATTCTTCGACTGTATCATGAGGACGGACATATTGTTCCTTCGTAATATGGTGTCTTGATAAAGAATTGGAATGACCACATCAATGCCATGTTGATTATCCGCACAGACAACTCCGACACCCCGGGCGGCAAGCTTAAAGAGATATTGGACAGAGAGTACCTTGAAATCATAAACCTTAATGAAATGCGTAACGTAAATGCGTGAGCTCTTGAATGTATCAGCAAATGCGTCGTTGCAACTGCCTGTCAGCAGCCTTGAGGGCAAAGAATCCTTGATCGACTTGTGATAGATGTCGTGGGTAAAGAGCGCCTCGAACAACGAGGTCACCATTACCCCCCCTGGCTCCCATCTCCCTTCCCTGGACATAAGGTCATCTACGGTGTCGAGAATAATGTTGCACGTAATGAGTTCTCCCCGATCTCCCTTACTCATTCCAGGCCACTCCAAAATGTCTCGTAACATCTGACAGGACCGGACCTTATCCCGGATGGTGCACAAGATGATGGCCGCGGCCTCGGTGAGGATCGGCTCCGAGGCTGCAACCGTAACGACAGACTCAAATCCATCCTTGACACCCAAGCATACACGCATGTGCCTCTCGACTTGGTTCATCTGGTTCCTTACTGCCAACGTTCGGTGCCGACCAAAGTAAATGCTCGTATTGAAGTCCAGCACAAGGCGATGAGACATCACGGCAAACTTTTCATCGAGGGTCAAGTCATCCTTTTCCCACGCACGGCAGAGAAGTTTCTGGACAGCAAATACGGTGATTGTGGCTTTGACGCGTTCTCCGCCCTCTTGGTAGCGTGTCAGCCATCTACAATGACATAAAGTTATTATAGTGATAGTGAAGAAAGATCTGGGAGAACGTACAAGGGACGACCTAATGATAACCTGTACGGTAACTTAGTGACATCATCCAAAGTCATGCCCTCACGAAACTCCATCGCCATGCGATCAAAACCTAGTGCGCTGAACGGTTTGACACTGGCAAGTTTGCCTTGGAGAATGCGGCTCGATGGATCAAGGGAAGGTGGTGGGGAGAATTGGTCAGACTTTCCTGTTGTGGATAAGAAGAGGGTCCAGATAGGGAACGACCGTAAACCCCGCAAAGCGCGTCTGATCGATGAGAATGCGGACCACCTCCTACCAGTATTTGAAGGCGCCAAGGTGTGGGCTTCATCAAATGCCAAAGTCAATATGGGAGTATGCTGCGTTCTGAGCTCGAAATGAGGGTCGATCTTCCCTAATACTTGTCGGACGACAGTATCAAGTGCAACCATGCCTTGTGTATAAAAAAGACATTGAGTTAGTCAAGACCATGCTTAGGGAAGTAATGAGGAATACCATTTGTGTTTGTCGTGAACTTCCCGGGCGGTGTTTTCTGTTCTGAGGGAGTCATTGGCCTAATATTTGAATATAGCTGCCTCGATTATGAGTGACCTAGCGGCGACACAAAACAGGGACTTGCCTCCTCCGCTCTGGCCAATACCTCCGCGTAAAACTGCACACGTAGAGGAGCTTGGTGTCCAAACCGCTGTCCAAGTGTCATAAAAAGTCGAAACTGCCCGGCAAGGGATTTAGGATAGTCCATTAATGCCGCTGACTTCTCGGCCGGTGAGAGCACAGAAGAGGAGGCGATAATACTTTTTATTGAGTTATGTGGTCCAATGACCTTGGACACCCTCTCGAACAATGCAGTGAGAAATGCGCTGAAACGAGTATCGCTTTCATGCTCTTTAAGACCAATCCTTGTGAACCAATTCAAGACATCATGGTCAGGAGCCGGATATCCTAGATTGAAACATTAGAATCACACAGAAGAATACGGGAAGAGAATATCACCTTCAGCTCCCTGACGGAGATTGAAGGGGACTACAAAGTGCTGCTTGGAGAACTCGTCGACCATTCGCGATTTCCCCATGCCAGAGGACTGTACGATTGGTAAGAGGCGAGCATATGTATCAACAATATCTTGTCTCATCATGTACTGGTAAAGAATGTTGGCAGCGTCTCCTCTGTATTTGGAAGACCACGACTTGACTGCCGCTGGAAGGAGGTCGGAAAGGAATGACACAAGCAGGCGACGCTCTACCCACCATCTTCGGATGATTGAGAATCAAGTATCGCTTCAGGGTCGGGAGGACCCGCAGGCTGGGCGGTTGGAAGAAGAATTTCTGTAACGATCACAGTTTATCAGAGCCATCCAACGACGCCCAAAGCCAACGGTGCATACCCAAGTTTCGTATCTCCTTGAACGATTGAGCCTCCCATGCTTCATCTAACCTATCCCCCAACTCCGGATGTTGTGCGATTAAATCATCCAGTGGCGGTAAACTTTTCGAGTCGAGTACTCCGTCTGATTGGAGGACAATTCGGTCGAGAAGAAGAAGACGAAATGGATTTCTGGAGAGATGCTCGGCAAACTTGAGCATGAACTCGACGACAAGTGCGTCAAGCGTTATGTGGGTGGCCTCGTCCAGGACATTGGGATGAACCGCGAGAGTCGTGGGTGCACGTTTAGAGGAGGGCTCACCCACTGACGGCCCAATCTCCAAATTGGATCTCTTTAGAGCTGACTGATTTGGGAGCGGGACTTGAATTTCGCGACTGCCGTGCGGATGTTGCTGGGGAGGCGTCAAGTTTTCTGGAGAATCCCCGAAGGCAGGCTCGGTGACTTCCACCGACGAACCTCCGATGTGCAGAGGTTCTTCTTCCATTAGTGTTTCTGGGGCCAAGGCATCTAATGGAACGGCTCCATGCCTACCGCTTCGCAAATTCGGCATGTTGCAGCGTATTTAGTAGAGTAAGCCGATCGAGGAATGCGAACTGTAAATGTAACAACAACTACAAAAAACCCCGGCATACTCCGAGCCCCGAAACTTGGCGCACTGGATAAATATGGGTGCTTGCGTGCGACCCTTTTCGGAAATAACTAGTCGTTCAGTCCGATTGTGGCTGGCTCCCACACTCACGTACCGTGTGAAGTATAATAGATTTCCGCAACTTTGCCTTTGCCTCGGATTCATCTCGCGCACCTCAGATTCGGTGCGGGATGACGTGACGGTGCAGACAAAGTTCAGCAGTAGAGATGTCGGAACATCGCGAAATCGATCAAAAATACGAGATTTACATAAAACGCCGTCTAATCAGACGGTTGTAAGCGCTTTTAGTGGAAACGGCCGGAACCCAAGCGGTCCCGGCCCGTGAATTGGCGGGCGCGGGCATTGTGCGACCCGTAATGCACAACAGCATACACGAATACACAGTTCAGCGAGAAACAGGTGTGCCTGAGGAAGTACGATATCCAATGAACGTGAACAATGAAGAAATCAAGCGACCTTCCGGAGCGGATAATGGCGAGCTTATCCTGGCCGACGATGATTTGAAAATGATTGATTACTTACATGCACTGTGGGAAGTAAACCTTGGTAAATTACCAAGTTTTCGAAGGTAAAGGACCATTTACTAAGTTTCGGGTGGTAATTGAGGAATGGTAATGTACCAACATGCCTGACGAGGGTTGGTGAGTCGAGTTACTAAGTTTTGTGCTCCATATTTTACCAGATATCTTATGGTATTCAGCGACGTGATACATAAGTAGGATTTCATGTTACATACACCTGTATTACAGTAAAATGCAATGTAATTAATCATCATCGACGTCAAAAATGGGCCATGCAAGCTCAATACTAGGGTCTACAATCGCCCATCGCAGCAATGCGGTTCCATAACAAAACCGACCACATACTGATGATACCAATGCTAACGCGATAATCTGTGTCATCTCTGAGAGAGAGTTGAAGGATACTGGAGTGAGCGCAGCATTGTCATGAGCTCCGCAATCAGAAACAAGAGCGAGTACATGAGTCGTTGGCACATCGATGCCCAGGAAATTCGAAGTCGGGAGAGTGCATACTAGTATCTCATACAGTATGCTGTAGCAAATTTGCTTGATAAGCGGGTCTTTCGACGGACATGGGGATTTGAATCTACAGCAACCTCATACTGAGTTGCACTCAGTAAAATGTCTGATTAGAGAGCAATCAGACAACTCAACCTAACAAAAGATGCATCGTGATAGTTCTTCCATCGACTTTGTGCCCAAGAGGCACTTTATCACCTCCACCCGCAATACCTGACTTCCCCCATCGTGGCATGACTTCTGGCAGCCATCTGATAATCTCATGAAACGGTTTGAGATACACAATAGTGAGATTTTACGTCGAAGTGAGGCATCAGGGACATAATCCTTCTTGCACAGGCTCCAGAGGATGTTTGGGGTCCATGAGTGATAGATAGAATACTTCAGAGCTTTTGACGTTCTAGGACAGTGCAGCACTGGTCTGATGCGTTGATAGTTGTGGCGCCTAAGTTAAATTCGGCAACTCCCGAGCACCTAACCTCTTGCCATCTATCCTCCGCACTTTAAACACTGTTGTGTACTTTGCACAAAAACATGCTTCATTAAGGCCTCTTAGCTTGTGATATTGCTCTACTGGTGAGACAACACACTTTTTATGGAAAATGAACTATGAACATCAGAATTCCAATGTCACTAGCCTCATCTGACGTGCTGTACCACGCATCCTATCATACATCTTTTGCGTGTCTTTTCACGCATCTTTTTGTCCCTCATCAGACTATCGATACATTCCCCATCTTATTATGCCTCCAGTTGCTATGGTAAGTGTAGCATACACTCATGGGACTCACCCAATCTGCGGATCTCTCTGTTGCACAGAAAATCAAGATCCCTGATCCGCAAGGCCGAGGAAACTGTAAAAAGTACTCCATAGAAGAGACCCTTGGCATGGAATGAAACGAGTATGTTAACCAACCCCAAGCCTAGACTGACTACGAAAACTCGTGGATTGCTGAAGTCCTAAAGGGGAAAGGCAGAGCAATGCCGACACTCAGGGGTTCAAAGATTTAACCTAGCTATGTTGTCTGTCGCTTACCACTCCCAAAAGTCATAATCCACACACTAACTACTGTTGCTTTTTTACAGAACTTCTCTCTGGTTGCTTGCGTTCGCTCTCATTTCACTCTTACTTACACTGTTATTGCCAACTCATTCAACTTTACCCGACTTGCTACATGCTCTTTCGCATAGAGTGCTTCGACTTTGCTGCTCCCATTCGATCTCTCTTGGTACTGTACTGCTTGTACCTTGCCATTTACACATATTCACTTGTAGCATCACACTTCTGATGACCACGCTTCATGTATACGCATGTATTACCTACCGTTCAAAACATCGTAAATGAGTATTCTCCGACCCATACTAATTGTACCATGCCAAAGATTGTAAAGTACCAACAATGAATCAATAAATGACCAATTACCAATCTGGTAAAAATGGCCGTTTACCATGAAAAACATTGTACATCACCAGAAAAATCGATGTCATTCACCATGTCTGGTCTGGTATCCATTTCTGGTCCATTACTACTTACAAATTGGTACATTACCACTGCTCTGGTGGTGTTTGAGCTCGTATTTTACCAGACGAAAAATGGTATATATTTTCCACTGTGCAGGTATCTGCATGTGTAAACAAACATAGTAATTCACAGAGATTGCATTCTTGGGTGAATTATAGGAGGGTGAGGCGAGTGAAAATTAAATATGTTGGCTTCCTCGCCACAACCTCGCCATAATTCTGTGTCGGAAAACTGGGGATTTCGTTGTAACGTGCTACATGGCGTTACGGGATTTTGCTGCGTGTTACAAGGCATTACAAGGATTTTGCTGCGTGCTGCAAAGCATTATGAAATTTGGCTGTGTGTTACAAGGGTATTACGGGATTTTGCTACATGTTACGCATATGAACTACTGATTTGCTCGAACACAAGATGGACCGCAATAAACCAAATATACATAATGGTGCCTGCATATTTACATTATCAGTTGACTTGAAAGACTATCGGATACTACTTGTAGATGGAAGAACATGTCAGTATCGATGACATCGTTCAGAAGATGGTAGCTTGGACGTGGAGGATCCGTCACTGGAACTATGAATGCGCATCTGATAAACTCTGAGACCAGCACAAAAAATGTTTGCTGTGGCGACTCAAGTTGTAGAAGTCGAAAGCCTGTTACCCTGTCGCTTGCGGTGTACTCGGATAGGGTGGCTAGACGAAACCCTTGAACTAGGGCAATGGTATATGTGGATCTCTGGAAGGGCACATTGTACATTTTGATGACTTTTGCAAAGCGGGTCCCACTTGGAGAACGCAGTATCACAGAATCACTGCGCTTTCGTCCATGGAACTCATCGTGTGTGCGAACAAATTCATCTCTGCCTGTACCATTGTCAAGGGATCGATATTGGATTTTGATTGTTCGCCGTTCCGTAAGCTGGATCCATAGATTAGAAAAATTGCAAGCCGCTGGTAGTAGAAGTTTGGACCTACCCAATTTACCTCAGATCCGTCTAAACTCTGGACACCACACAATGAACAGATGAAGTTATAGAACTTCACCAGGAATGCAAAAAATTCTGGGCGCATTTCCTGGGACTGTTCTACCACATGAATCGAAATCATTACACCTTTCCATGTCGTGACAGGGGGCTCTCAGGGAACAGTGTTACAGGCAGTGTGGAGATGACCCGGGACATTAGAAACATCAGCTTCTTCAGGGCTTAGCTCCTTTCGAATTTCCTCTTGTATTGCATCAAGTACCCAGATGCACTCATCGTGTGTAGTGATCTAAAAAAAGGCAATGAATAACTTCCCCCACACAAAAAAGGAGAATATACCCTTCTTCCAGTGTTCTTAAAATTCCCTGATTGAAAAACCTTGCGCATCCACAGGTGTTCATGCTCTCCAGGCTTAGTGCTGGTGTTTGCAGGGACTCCTTTTGCCAGGAATGTCAAGAAACTATGCTGAAGCATGTGGAACTTGGGGAAGCACCATGACTTTTGGCCATCCATAGCGCATAGTGTGTGGAGTGTTTTTCGTAGTGGCTCAGAATGTGTGAGATATGATTGGGGGATCAGTACACCCTATGAAACATTGTTAATATAGCAAACCATGTTTGAAATGAGGACATACTTCCGTCAGATGCTGCAAATTGTGAAGCATTGCTTCACCCAATTGAATCCTTTTCGTATTCAGTGACTCACACTGGAACAGGATGTTAATTATACTCATCACTCAAACACACCGTACCAAAGAAGAGAACTCCAATGGGAGGGCATGTAGCCCGTGTAAAATAACCTAGTGGCAGAAGTGTAATGCAAATAATTTAGCAAAGGATAACGAGACTCACCCGAAGTAAATGGTCCAATCTAGTGCCGTCATTAAAGTCATTGAATACGCTGCCTGTTTCAAAACTCTTGAGCCCTTTCCACATAGGCAGTGAACATATTCTATTTCAAGGCTAAAATATGGTTTAGTATCCCTCAAAGTGAGTACACTCACACACTCTCGAATCGTGCTATCACTTCCAATCCTAGGAGGGGGACGAGGGTTTGAATGATTGGCACTGTGTGGCCTCCCCAAACTCCTTCTTGCCATGTATGCAAGACGTCGAATGAAATGGCCCAATGCGGATCGGAGTTGTGAATCTGGTTGAACACACTCTTCGAGTCCCAGTGAGTATGACAGGACCAATTTCGGCATGTTCCATACCTCCTGTGCTCGCAGCCCATAGCTCTGGAGTAATTCCTCTGCCAGTCCCTTTGCCATTGTTTGAGCCTTTCAAATAATTTGGCTAGTTTCAGATTTGGAGCAGCGAGGATACTTCACGTCCAGTCGGTGAAGTGCATCCCTTGGGACAAGGCAGATTGTGCAAGGCTTGAGTGATTTAGCGCCACGCATGGCTAACATGGTCCAACTAACAAATATGCATTAGACAGCTGGCCGAGAATAAAGTGTTTGACTTACCCTTCTTGGTTGTCGGCGATTAGGCCATATACGAAAGGAAAAACTCTCCATAAAATATCATCAGCACACCTGAGCTGGACACCCCAATATGCCGCATCGTGCAGAGAGCTTAAAACCTCACTCATTGCCTGTTGATAGATGTATGACTGAAATGTGGCCCAAGCTTTTTGGTCATGCTTTTCAGCTCCGCTGCCTTTCACCTACATCAAGTTCAGCAAAGATACACTCGTAAATGAAAAATAAATACACTTGCCTCAGGAAGCCAGCCGATCAGTCTGGCAATAACAGGGTAGCCAGTCACTGAGCCAAAGGTAGAGAGTTTCGACTTATCTGCATAAATATAGATGCCCAGCGGAAAACTATCAACATCTCCAATTTTCCTTGCAGCATGATCCTATCTAAATGATATAAAATATTGATACGATAGCGGCTGGTACACTCACCCATGCATCCCAGAGTTCATCCCCAGTCCATGGCTCGTCCACACACCAAATCCAGTTTCCATTTTCTTTCGAGAAGATCTTCTCAGGGCACCAGTGAACAGAGCCGAAAAGGAAGGGATCCTGAAGAACTCCCTTTATCCAGCTCATTATCGGTTTTCGTATGACTTCGATTGTTCGTTCTAGATTCCCAAGTTTGATGGTAAGGGACTTTGTTTCAAACTGATGAATGACAGTCAGCCTGTGGAATGGTCAATTGAAATGATGAAAAGACTTTCCTTGGTTGATAAAGTACTAGTGTGATCGAGTATATTGAACATTTGTTTCGAATTTTTTAGCGTAATGGGGGAATTTGGGATTTGCGCATGTTGCTGAAGAAATATGTCAATTGCCTCGGCCTTGACAAGGTTTCGGACACAGTTGTCTGCAAAGATAAAGTCTTCAAGGGATGTAAACGGGTGATAGGGCTCCATATCGCTCGAAATTTGTGATAAGCGGGAAGTTGCATCCAACATCTCAGGACATCGAGGGTGATGCTCAACACGTATCCAGGAATCCTCACTTGGCAATAATCTAAACAATCCATAAATATATGTATAATATAAACAGAAGACTTTGTGCTATGCGAATGAACAACTTACTGCGTATCTGAGTGTGGGTGTCCACCTGCCACACTTCCCTCCTGCATAGGCTCTTGACTCCGCATCAGACTGGGGGGCGATGTTTCAGGACCCCCAGAAGCTTCCATCAGAGAAGCTCCAGCCTGTGTAGGCACAGTGTCATATCCATTCCTGGCCATCGACTTCCGGTCCCTCCGTTCCCTCCAGTCTAACCCCGCTCCTCCTTCACTAACCTCGGAGCTCCCGTATTCCGCAATCCTCTCGGCACCCCTCGATGGTCACCACCCCCTCATTTCAATTTATTACCTACGCCTCCCTAAGTACGGAGCCCCGAAGACTTCCGGACAGCTCCGACGTCCGCTAGCGCACCCCCGCCTCCGCTGGGCAATACAATCGCCTGCCCTGCAGAGCCTACCTTCAGGCTTATCCCTCCTTCCCGTTTCTGGGTTAACGCCTGCCTCTCCGCTAACCCCGCGACCCGACTCGTCGGTAATATTCAGTCGGCTAATGATTAAACCCGTTAGCTCCGCTCTGTCCGGCTCCGCCAATTGCGGACCCGTCTTCGCTGTAACCATATATATATCCTGTTTGTACATAGGTTACACCCCAGTAGTAAAATCAACTAGAGTTACCCCCCTAGGTTCTAATTGCCAGTCAGTAAGTTAGGGCACAGACGTGTCACTAGACACAGCGCTCTTGGCAGAAGTCGCTGAGGCCGAAGCCCTCCGCTACGGAGACATTCCTTCGTCTCGAATCTGGTCTCTGACACACAGGAGTAGTATGGGAATAGCCAGCAGAAGGGCTGTTTGCTACAACCAAATGAATGAGCAATGTTCCACAATGAAATGCGCCAAACTTACAGGTAAAGGTGTCCTCTCTTCTATGCTTAAAGCCTCCCATTAATCGTTGGTTTTCTGATTCTTGCATCTCCTTCCGAAGCATAGCAACCTCATGCTGGTCGTCACAAGCATCCTCATGTCTTTTCAGACCCTGAGGAGTGATCTTTCGGCCACACTTTGAGCAATTGACTGTATACTCAACATTATGGGAGCCATAGGAGGCCATTGATATGCTAGAAGTAGAGGGAAAGTGCGTGGTGCTAAAGGTGTGCAGTGATTTCCCATGATCTGAGTACCTCCGTGTAATTAACGAATTCCCACCACACTCCGCAGCACCCCTGGAAAAAAGGTATATTGCTCAAGCGAAATAAGTAATCTACAATCACTGCTTCTTCCCCCTCTGTTTGCCTCTGCCTCGGCCCTTTGGGCATCCTCTACCCTTCCCCTTGTTTGCCGCCCTGCCCTCGTGCAGATCTGATGGCTCTGGTCTCCTAGCTGCATCATGCACATGAGCAACCTTGCTCACCAGCCTCTGGCTCCGTAATCTGCGTTGCATGCTTTTTTGTGGACTTTCTTGAAGTTCTGAAGCACCTAAGTCCAAATCTGATGGGCAATGCAATGATCCTTTGGCTTCAGGCTCATCCAGAGAGAGGCTGTTCTCCTGCTGAGTGGCGGCATTGTTACAAGTTGTGGCATCATTAGGAGCCCCATTATTACTGATGCAGGGCCCATCTTCACTGCCAGAAATCGAAGTGAGAGTGTCATCGTCGCTAATGAAAAGGGGCAGTATTTGAGGCCCTTGACTTCCACGATGTTCCTGCATGATTGTGAGCAAGTGTTCCCTTCGAGTTATGTAAAAGGTCACCCACAGAGACTGATATATGAGCTGAACCACCACCTGGGAGAATCCCGCCCCTCATGCTCTCCTCCAGCTGTCTCTCAAAATCAAGATTCATTTCCGTTTCGTCATCGTTCATCTGGATGGAAGTATGTGTGTGCGATTCTACACCCTGATCCTTGAACAAGAAGATATTGTGATTGTCCATCATCTCCTGGAAATGTTGCTTCATCCCTCGAGGCAATGTCTCTTCAAAACTAAGGCACTTGATGATAAACTTGTGTCACTTGTGGAACTTGCATTCTGCATCAACGTGGTGTTCAGGGGGCAAGAGGGCACTCCAAACCTACTTGGGATTTATAATTCGAACTCTGACTAGTAACTCGTTGCTCACCAACACAGCAGACAACGCTACAAGTCCAGGGGTAACCTCGACTATGTTATACTTCTTCGCTGTACAATTTGCTGCACAGTGGTTCCATGCCGATTGATCAAGAGTGATATCGTTGCCATCGGTATTAAACAGTGGTGTACCAGCGGCAAACAGTAGTGCCCTGATTCCCTTTGTATCATGAGGTGAGTGGACGCTTATGCTTGAGTGATTATAACTACTTTACCTCGGTGACATAGGGTGAGTTCATCAGGAACCGTGGATCATCTTTGTGTTCGGGGGGGAACAAGACTGGGGGATTATCTGGATATTTCCCTTTTGGGTCCCAGATTCCCCGTAGTACTTTTGCCATTTCACATCCCCAAAGAGGCCCCTCCATCCGATCCCAGAACGGGAAGATAAGCCTACCGGTTAAATCATTCTCGAGGATCCGGTGCTTTAGTTGATGCCGTATTTCACCCATGCTGTTGGTAATCTATGTGGCAAAGTAGTTCAGGATTGTAGTATGCAATGCAATGATAAGCTGCTTTACCCTTTTCTGAATTGCCTGTTGAGAAATTTGATTTCTTATCAAATCTGGTAACATTGGCCAGTCTTGGAATTCATGTAGGTGGCCCTCCTCGATGAATTCACAATCCCATCGCCTTTCTGGGTTCCATTCCACACTTAGGTGAACCCGGAACAGCTGAGGACCAAAGTATGCATTCACAGTGAATGCATAACGATGGGCAACATCAGCAATATGATGCTCGTCGTTTGTCATTTTGACAGAAGGTTGTTGAGGTCCCGGCGACTTTTTTGGCACTAACGCCTCCTTACGTGTTGCCTTCAGCCTCGCAATTTCTTGGTCCTTGGCCTCAAGATCCTCAGGGATGCAAACACATCTCGATGTCAAGCCATACTGTGTTATTAAAATAGCCTTACAGCATGCAGCATGTCGATTTCTGATGCATCTATTGTATCAAAGGGCTGTCGTTCATCGTTACATCTTGACCTTGCAAAACGGGTTGAGATTGGGACTCCACTGTCAGCATTTTGGGCGAATGTAACACAAGAATAGTCTCAGTAAGAAGACAGGATCTCAGCCAGAGCGCTTCTGCCTCTTTACATATGCACAAGCAAATGCATTGAGTCAAAAATATCTTTGAAACACGGCATCGGCACAAGAGTAAGTGCTTGGCACATGGTTACACCCTACTCTGACGGGCAACTCCGATAACTCCACATTTAATCCATAAATTCCGCAGCATCGCCTTCCAGAACATTTCAACCATGTCCACCTCTTGCACCCCCCTTTCGTCAAAATGACCGAACTGGACTCTAGACCAGACATGCCCATAATCATCAATACTGTCCCTCCAAACTTCCCTCCGAGTGCTCTGGAGTCAGGAGAGCAAATAATCCATCTTGACACTGGTGCGCACAGCATGGTTGTGGGGCATATTGACCTCATTCTTGCCAATCTCTATCGAGGTATGTAGAGCCAATGTGAGCAGCTTTACGCAGTTGCTCAACTATACTTCCTAGCATTGGCATTCATTGCGTTGAAGACTGGTGTTGACGTTTCCCAAGTATCGCTCCTGCCGCTTTTAGTAGGTGCCTGTATCTCAAAATTCCAAATTGGTGCTCTTCAACTTGAGCTTGCGCCTGGGCTTGGTGAAACGCCATCCTTGTCAGGGGGGCCTAACAATGAAGCAGCATTACAACAAGTGAGTTCTCCAACCCCAAGCATAAGTTAATCTGAATGACTGAGTCATCACGGAAGTCAACCGACAGCTCAGATACCAGCAATGCTGAGACAGCACTCGATCCTGGAAGTAGTTTCACTCTTTTCCAACATACCGTATGAGCAACATAACGGTAGCATTACAGTGTCGTGTTCATTCCACCATGTCTAGTAGTTTCCCGACATGTACAGTCTCACGTAAAATACATCTAGTTGGTCGCCATTCTGCATGCACGAGTAGATTGAAAGGGGGAGGCACAAGCAATAATATGATTATTGGTCCTGTTGAGCAGTGTTGCAACGCGTTACAACATGTTACAACATTGGCTTCACCGTTCTAACGCATTGTAACAATTGACACATGTTGCAACGTTTCTGGAAATGTCATAACACGTTATAACACTTGGGAAATGTTACAACACTGCCGGAAATGTTACAACGTTTAAGCCAAAGTTAAATGCGTTGTAACGCAGAAAAGTGTTATGAGTGTTGCAACGCGTTCGAATGGCGGTTCCTGGTTTCCGACATGGCGGAAAATAGGTCACGTGGGAGTGAAAGTTTGCAACTCCTTCATCCTTGCAACCACCCTCTGTCCCCAGAGACGAATCATCTCCAAATCGCCCTTATGGGCTCTCATGCCACACCTAACTTTGAATTCGACTGTCCACATCCTGACCTTACTATCCGTGATGCATTGGTAATCACTGAGAATCCACACTCACGCATTGTCCATTTGTGGACTCAGGTCAAGACATTTGTTGTTATGTAGCTCTCAGCAGGGACACTCGGATAACGGGGAATGACCAACTTTGTCAGAGACCAGGTTGAGACGAAGGAAGGTCTCCATGGCAGAGGGCTTCGGCCTCAGCGACTTATGCCAGGAGCGCTGTGCCAAGTAACACATCTGTGCCCTAACTTACTAACTGGCAACCAGAACTGCAGGGGGTAAACCAGACTCCTTCCCAGTCGCTCACATGATTTCTCCGAGGTTTAGCTGCAACTTACGTTGCCTCCGAAATCTGTCGAGCGACTGGTACAACTTGCAACACGTGATGTTCCCACACTAAGTTGTAATGAGTTGTACATAGGTTACGGGATATAATTTTTAGTATTTACGCATGTGGTCATTGTACCCAACCCAACCCATGGAGACTAAGGGAGCACATCCAAGGTTGTGAAGTTAATATCCGGGTGTGTGCGAAGTTTAAGAGTTTATATATTACTTAGTTGCCAGTCACTTGTTTGTGCCTGGTGGCATAAGTGGTATACCGCTAGTTGAGGCTATGCAGTTTTTTTAAGTGGCACATGTTCGATTCTCACTTAGGAAAACTTTTTTCGGGCCCTCCCATGGAATAATTGTGTGAAATGGTTGTTTTCTGTGCACTAAGGAGTGGAGGGTATGAAAAAAAAAAGTTTCCTAAGTAAGAATCGAACATGTGCCACTTAAAAAAACTGCATAGCCTCAACTAGCGGTATACCACTTATGCCACCAGGCACAAACAAGTGACTGGCAACTAAGTAATATATAAACTCTTAAACTTTGCGCACACCCGGATATTAACTTCACACACCTTGGATGTGCTCCCTTAGTCTCCACGGATTGGGTTGGGTACAATGACCACATGTGTAAATACTAAAAATTATATCCCGTAACCTATGTACAACTCATTACAACTTAGCGTGGGAACATCACATGTTGCAAGTTGTACCAGTCGCTCGACAGATTTCGGAGGCAACGTAAGTTGCGGCTAAACCTCGGAGAAATCATGTGAGCGACTGGGAAGGAGTCTGGGGGTAAACTCTAGTTGATTTTATTACTGAAGTGTAATCTATGTATAAGTTGGATATATATATAGTTACAGTGAAGACGGTTCCACAAGTGGCAGAGCCGAGCGGAGTGGAGCTAACGGGATTAAACACTAGCCGACTGAATGTTACCAACGAGTCGGGTTACGGGGTTAACGGAAAGGCAGGCGATAACCCAGAAATGGAAAGGAGGGATAGGCCCGAAGGTGGGCTCTGCAGGGCAGGCGAGTGTATTGCCCAGCGGAGGCGGGAGTGTGCTAGCGGATGTTGGAGCTGTCTGGAAGTCTTTGGGGCTCTGTACTTAGGGAGGCATAGGTAATAAATTGAAAGGAAGGGGTGGTGACCAGGAAAACAAAAGGGGGAAAATGGCTATTCCCGATATCACTCTGGTATGGCTCCAAGAGGTAACACACTGCCTAATGGTAATCGAGGTTAAGGGCCACCCAATCAAGGGTCTTGGTTTGTTTCCCCCCTTCCAATTATTGTGTGTAGAATTGATGGTAGGTTCATAGTGCCAAAAGTTTGGCTTGCAGAGCACAGTAGGGGTTTTTTCCAACTCAACATGGGCTCTCATCTTCGTCAGGTCATCACTCAAGCTTTCATGGCGTTCCATACATATCCTGACCAAGCAATAATTTATCACTCCCTTATTATTGGGGTGTACTTTTCATTGTTTGAGTTTAAGCGTCCAGAAGAGCTGGAACAACTCCCTAGAGGTGCAGGTATGCTTGGTCTTCCAGTTTTCATTGCCAGAAGGCTAATTCTCTAAGGAGATTTGAAACCAATACCATTCAGACTCCTTGACCAGTCTGCAGTGTTCTCACTCATCCCTCGTGGCTGCATCAGGGTGCTTATCTTCTCCCAACCCACCCTTAATCATGATGGCACAAACATTTTTGGAATATCACCCGCTTTCCTCAGGTGCCTTCAGACATGTCTTCCATCTGGTGTGGGTCTGGCTCCATTAGGTGGTGTTGTCACTGCATTAACTTCAGAACTTGGAGTAAGTCTCATCAGCTCTGTTAGTGTAACATCAGACTAAAAGCAAGTCAGGCCCTAGAGGGAGAAAACGAGTTGGACGACTTTTACCAATCCTACAGCTCTAGTGAGATGGATTTATCCCAGTCAGAGGTAGACTCTGAGGCTGGGGACCCATCATATACACCGAGTGATCCATGATCAGGGTGGGATGCAGAAGAACTTTCACGATAACATTCTCAATATATTCCCTACCAATTCCGCTTCACACTGAGACCTAATCTGTTCCGACCAATGTAGTGGACATGGCCCAACATGGGCTGGCGCAGAATGCTGATTTGCAGGACACAAAGGGCAAGGGCGAGCCGTAACCGATAGCCCTAGCTTAGGATGGGGGAGGGGAGGATGGCGGTGAAGAAAGTGTTGAAATTCTTGTTTCTTGGTATGCTGTGGACCATCCATTGAGTCCATCGGACTGTACATCTTACACATGGGCATTTCCATGAAGGATTGCCCCAAAGCCACCTCGCGCCATTTTTCTCTTTCCTCTCCTCAGTTCACATCTTATACATGACTAGTTCTTAATTTCAATAGAAAGAGGTATCATTCGCCCAAAATTTGTTGGATTTGTTAGATTAAGTGATCCATGCCATGTGCATGGAAGGCTGAGTGACCAGTGTGCGCTGGATCAAGATCACCACCTGAACAGAGTGCTACGTTAGGGTCATTGATAACCGAACAGAGACGCGAAATAAACCAGGAGCGTGCAGGTAGTTTTCCTGTCTCGCCGAGCCACAAATCAGGAAGTGTGGAAAAATAGTATCCCGCATAGAAAGGTACCTTCTGAAAATTTGTAAGGGGTCAAGACCCCCTTCGCGCTTTTCAAGGATGACAAGACAACCCCTCAAAGAACCCATCTGCATTATGCAGGGAAAAAGAAACATGCAGGCATGGCTCATCACCAAACCACACAGAAGAACACCAAATGGACTTCCGAAAGCTTTGCAACGCAGAAACATCGTTGTCCACAAGTTCTCCCAAGTGCATAAGGCAGTGCCAGTGTTAACGTCGGCAGAGGCTGGCGATTGGTTACGAAATCTTAGGGTGATCGAAAGTCGCTGAACCAAAGTTGAACTTGATATTACACTAGAGGGTGTAAAGTACAAGATCTCTGCCTTTTTCTATCTACTAAGGTTCTAGCTTATATACGGTTCGATGGGATGAACCTGCACTGTTTGCGCTGTCCAGCCAGCTCCCCCTCTGGGCTTATGGGTTTGAAGATTGGTGTTGCCACGATGCACCACATCATCCTGAAAAGGTAGTGGAAAGAAAGAGAGGGGTTGGGTCGGTGACAGGATGAACCTGCATTTTTTGCGCTACGTGGGCACAGATTGGTGTTGCCACGCACCACACCACCCCCCTTCAGATGTTATAGACCTAATTGGTCTAAACAGGGGCACCATGTGAAGGTTTAGGTCCGTGCCGGGTTCTATCTTCTATATTCCACTATAGAGGCTGGGGTCCTGCCTAGTGCCGGGTGTTAGCTGCGAGAGCTGAACTCCCCCTCGACTTAAATCTGTCGTTGAGGCCCGAGAACACACTCAATAACCCCCCAACTAACGCCGCACTCGCCAACACACAGCCTCAACCCGCACAGGCCCAACCCACCGTTCTGCCCCCTCGCGACACCTCCTGCGACGTCACTCTAACACAACAGTCACCTCTACTCCCCGTCTGCACCGACCGCAGCTTCCCAAGACTCCAACAGGAGCTTAATGCAGCGATAGAGACAGCTGAACTACGAAACTCCAAGGGCAGCTTCCTCCGCGTCCAAGCTGTTCGCCGCCTGCCTTCTAAAGATCTAGTCATCACCTTGTTCACTAAGGAGGCTGCCTTCCGACTGCGCGAAGATACACGCTGGCTGACCTTCATGGATAATGAGGCGGCCAAGCTGACTATCAGGCGCCCTGTTTTCGCCGTAATCATCCACCGCATCCCCTGCTCTTTTGACCCCAACCAACCCAGCCTCTCATCTTGCCCGCAGAGCACTTCGACGTCCTGTCCAGAGCCACCGTTCCTCCCTCCACCACCTCTTCCACGCCCCACAGCACCCTCACTTCTCAGAGCACTCGGAGCTAATCCACCCTCAACCACTACCACCTTGGGCCCCTCATCCTTTCACAACACACGCAGCGTTGTTGAAAGAAGAAGCCTACTTGGAACACCTCCACCTAGCGCTCCCTCCCACGAATACATTGCTTACTCGGATGGCTCCAAAACAGAGGAAGGAGTAGGGGCCAGTGCCCACATCCCTTTCCTGCAGGAACAGAGCTCCCTGCGCCTCGGCGACCCAGAATCCCACTCGGTTTTCGAAAGCGAACTAACAGGAGTACTTCTAGCCTTACAACTAGCCAAAGGACGGCCAAGAAACTTCACATCTTCCTCGACAACCAGGCTGCAGTCCGTGCCCTAGCCTTCCCTGCGCAACGCAAATCCGGGCAACACATTCTACTCACCATACTCCGAGCATACGAAGACCTACTACCCATGCACCTCCACCTCAGACTCCACTTTGAATGGATACCCGGCCATCGTGACATACCGGGAAATGAAAAGGCTGATCACCTTGCCAAAGCGGCCACCAAACCCAACCCCCGCAACACAAACCCCCCTATGCCCACTTCTCTATCGATGGCCAAACAATACCTTAAAGCCCAAGGAAGTGACAAACCTCCCAATGGAACATCAGGTCACTTCCACCGCCGCATTTGCAGCAACACAGCCCCCGGCACCTTCTTGAAAGCCGCCTCCAAACTACGCCGCGGATCCATCAGCATCCTCTTCCAACTAAGAACGGGACATATAGGACTTCTGGCCTACCTGGCGCGAATGGGACCCAGTGCATCACCCAACTGTAGCCTATGCGAGGTCCCAGAAACAGTTGAGCATTTCCTCTTTGAATGCCGTCGATATTGCTGCGAGCGCAGAGCACTGCGAATCGATATCCTGCTCGCCTCCCTCAGTGACAAGTCCATCTGTTAGAATGGGCGGAAACGGACGACTCCGGAGTGGAATCGGAGACTTAGCGTGGAGGGACCTTGGCCTCAGCGACTCAAGCGGAGCGCTGTGCCATTGCTGTTTGTCCATTTGGTCCTTAATTTCACAGTAGGTGAGCAGGAAGTCTCTTGGGGGCATTTCAGGTCGATTTCGGACTGAAACCAAGACGAGTATGTACAAGCGCCGATATATATAATGGAAGGGGCAAAAGCACAAAGAGAACAAAGGGTGACCGAATCGGAACGAAGACGTCCGAACAGGAACAAAGGGTAGAGGGAGCGGAGCGGTACCGAAGGTCATAGGGCAAGACCTGTGATACGTCCGAAAGGAGGTAGAGAGGGCAAGGCCCAGAGGGGCAGGAGGATGAGGGGAAGTGGGGATGATGACTAACTGGCTAGAATAGAAGGAAGCAGTAGTCCAAATAGGGATGAAGGGAAAATGCGAGAAATACATTACAGGCGGCGAGAGCGCCAAAGGCGGTCCGCGAAGCTCGGGGGTTGCGGAGGTTACGGAGGTTACGGAGGCGGGGTTGGAAGTCCGAGGAATATTGGCAATGGTGTTTACGTAGTATGAGGTCACCAATGCAATGGACTAAGGCCGAGGTGGAGTCAAAGTCCGAGGTAGGGACTATGACGGAGGCTCGGAGTAAGGTACGAGCGGTGTCCGAGTGCGAAGTACGGAACAACGGTAGAAGGTCGTAACTTGGCGGAAGGGTGGTGGAGGAGTAACGGAGGGAGGAGAGAGTGGCGGAAAGGAGAGTAGTCAGGTCCGAAGGTGAGTATCGGAGCGGACGGGGGAAGCGTAGGAGGATAACGGGAGGGTGGAGGTGTTGTGAAGGGGGAGCGGAGTAGTAGGAGGAGGTGTGTTGCCAGGACCGAAGGTGAGTATCAGAACGGCAGCGGTAGGTTATGACTCCGGAGGTGAAGAGGGTGGAGGTCCGGAAGTCGGGTCGGGGTCGGGTATGCACGGATATGACACCATCCTCACCTTCGACCTCTCCCAACTCCTCTCCCACCCCAAAATCATCCCTCTTACCATAAGATACATCCGCGACACGGGCCGCATCCGCATCCATATCCCCTACTCACCTCCTACCTCCTGACATGGCTGGCCGGACATGAACGCTTTCAGCTTCTATTCTCACTTTTCTTATTTTTCTTTGTTTATTACTTTGCAGACGTTTTGTCACCTCCTTTCGGTTTATCTCATTTTCTTCTTACTGTACAGCTCCCTCCCTAACTAATAACCTACCTCCCCTCATCACCGCTCCCACAACTCGAGCCACTACACCACGATGGGTGCCACACCCTCCTATGAGTTCCCCTGCTTCTACACCGCGCACACTCATCAACCCTATGCTACCCTAACCACACTCACAATCTCAACACACCCACCCACAAACCCTTATCCACCACTTCTTGTCTACGATCATATAAGTACGGCATATGCCGCTCGGCACGTACTATAAAGTGAATTCATTCATTCATTCATTCATGCCTACTGTATCTTACCAACGACAGCCACAGTCAACGACAATGGTAGACCTACCAAAACTTGCCATTATTATCTACTCATTTGGGGATGAATTGTCCACCCTTGCCGATGATGAAATTGGGGCCTTTTACCATATGGAATATGTGGACCATCCTGATCGAGTAGGCGACTGCGATTGAGTTCCCTTGCTGTCTTCTCATAGTGTAGCAGTTATTCGTAGCAAGATTTGTGATGGAGTCATCTTGGGATGAGGATCGCAAATCGGATGCACACAAACTCCACACCATCCTTCCTGATGGCAGGTCATTCGACAAGGCCATCATATTCTACACGACGCATACAGAGGCCAACAGTGGGACCCTCATAGCACAGAAATGGGTTGATGGTGTGGAGTATGGCTATGATTTTGAGCAAGTGAGTGCTTTTCCCCATGTGCGCCAGCCAAGAGTGTTGCTGAACTTACCCAGATGGCCGAACCGCTGGAAGGAAGTGCGCGATGGTTAAGACACCTCCGCCAGAATACTGGGTTGGTTTTCCTCACATGTGGGCAGGCCTTCAGCATAAATCGCAGTTTTGACATTCTCAAAAATGTCTTCCATTGATTGAGGCATGTTGTTTCATCTAGGCACTGCTGGGGGTCTAATGTACTCATAGGTTTAGCTGGGTAATTGGATTCGCTGCGGATCGAGTGTCTCGAGAAGTGGTCATATCTCAGGGTAATCCCATGCCACGTTACATGATACTATAATCGACCCTCCAAACGAATCGCCTTATTCGTGAGTGCCACGCAAGAGCATTGCTCATCCGATAGTAAGCAGAGACAAGTGGAAGAAGCGTGCGATGGTCACCGTATTGCGTTTTTGCAATGGCAGGGATCGTTCGTTCACTGCGGTCCCAGGTAATGCGGAGGCTGTAATTAGGGTCTTCCATAAACCTGAGTTAGCCCTTGCTAGCCATGGTATTGACAGAATGTTGACACCATGTTAACTGTCTTTGAACAACTTTTACGTACCAGCACTAATAGGTCATGTGCAAGTCAGCCATTGCAGTCTTTCAGCGCTTCCGTTGGGGGCCTCCACGGAACGAAAGTCTGCTCAGCAGATGCAATCAAGCTCCCTGAGCTGGTGGCTGCATGGCCAAGTACAACCCCCCTGGTGTAGATAGACTGTTACAGCGGTTTCGTGAGAAGGAGCAGTCAAAAAGCGAAAGGGGCATGAACCCTTTCGTAAAAAATAACTGCAGGTCAGCGCGTGTGAAACACGCACTCTAGTAATAGAGGACCCCCCTACAGAGTAGCAATCGGTTCCAGCTGGGAGATAGTGGAGACGCGTGGTTACACTGCAACCCGAACGGCCCTTCGAACATCGTCCTATACTCAGACAATGCCAGTGCAGTGAAATGCATCTTCCAGGGGAAACCCAGGAAGGCACAAGAACACTCGTGGGCCTTCAGGAACACGATAGGAAGGCTGCTCGAGGAAAAGGAAGACCTGAAAGTTGCAGTCAGCTGGTGTCCGGGCCACTGCAGTATTGCAGGAAATGACCGAGCAGACGAGCTAGCAAAGGAAGGTGCCCACCTTAGAACAGACAGGCCAGGTTACCACTCACTCACATACGGAGAGAGCCTACACAGAGCGGAGATGGAAGAAGCTTGGAAGGCACGATGGTCAACCACACCCAACCCCCCAAGCTCCGGATTCCACCTGGCGAACCATATCGCCCCGACACTCAGACCCACCCTGAGATTTAAGTCACTAGACCGAAAACCTTCAGCAGACTAATCCAGTTTCGCACTGGACACGCGCACACTGGGGAATACTACTAGCGCTTCGGCATCCATACGGAAAGCCAAGAATGCCAGTGCGGCGCAGCGGTCCAGATGCGAACTCACCTCCTACAAAACTGCCTGCAACTCAGGAAGTTCCATCACCTGCTAGGCAGCGGACGGCAAACCAGACCATGGTGCTGATGGGGAGACCGAAAGGAATCCTCAGGCTGGCAAAGTACCTAAAGAAATCGCATGCCATCGATAAGAGATCCAGACTTACCCCCGATCACACCTCGGTTCCCACCGACCGAACCTTTCAAGAAAACCACCCATCTTGACAGCACTGAGCCCGGGGAGCAACCCCATCCACAGACGAACCAAAGCAACCCGAAACCAGACCCCGGAGGACACCGTCACCCCAACCCTACTAACCCACACTGTGAAAGTCCCCTCATGTACTATTATGATGTACATAGTGGGATATGCCGCTCTGTCACGTGCTAACGCGACTGCGGTTACACTTGTGCTACAACAAAGGGACCTGAGGTAAGACCAAAAGCTGATTATTATTTAGCCTAGCTAATCGTGACTTGTGTCAGAGACCAGATTCGAGACGAGGGAGTGTCTCCATAGCAGAGGGCTTTGGCCTCAGCGACTTCTGCCAAGAGCGCTGTGCCTAGTGACACGTCCGTGCCCTAACTTACTGACTGGCAATCAGAACCGAAGGGGGGTAACTCTAGTTGATTTTATTACTGGAGTGTAACCTATGTACAAGCGGGATATATATATGGTTACAGTGAAGACGGGTCCGCAATTGGCGGAGCCGAACGGAGCGGAGCTAACGGGGTTAAAGCATTAGCCGACTGAATATTACCGACAAGTCGGGTCGTGGGGTTAGCGGTAAGGCAGGCGATAACCCAGAAACGGAAAGGAGGGATAGGCCCGAAGATGGGCTCTGCAGGGCAGGCGAGTGCATTGCCCAGCAGAGGTGGGAGTGCGCTAGCGGACGTTGTAACGGGGATTTTCTGGTGTACCATAAACAAGCCAAATCCCGCGATTCTACCACCCTTAGCCAATGTTCCCTCCTACACATTTCTTATTTTTCCTGATTTTTCTGACTCCATTTCCACCTGATGTTTCCCCTTCTTATTGTTCTTTCCTTATTTGTCATTACCGGACTCTTCCGTGATACCGTGACCAGCTGTATAGTTAGCTAGACAGTGAGGAGTAGTGGAATCCACACCAATCTAACAAACCTGTGCATGCGACCACTCCAACCCTCCCCCTCTCTTCTGTCTCGAGTCTAGTGGTGATAGACCCGTTACAACGTCGGAGCTGTCCGGAAGTCTTCGGGGCTCCGTACTTAGGGAGGCGTAGGTAATAAATTGAAATGAGGGGGTGGTGACCATCGAGGGGTACCGAGAGGATTGCGGAATACGGGAGCTCTGAGGTTGGTGAAGAAGGAGCGGAGTTAGACCGGAGGGAACGGAGGGACCGGAAGTCGATGGCCGGGGATGGATATGACAACTTGTATAATGGAGAAGGGATGGATGCCCTTGCCAGCAGTCTCACTCCCGCTGTTATTTGGATGATCGCCACATTGGTTGCATGCAAATATAGATCCATTGTTGTCTAGCATTGAGGCACAAGGTCATGGACCGTATCACAGGATCCCAATGACAGCATCGATATACTGTCATTCATGCGTCGGAGGAGCGACCTCGATACATGGATTTACCCTTATTTGTGTCGACTTGCTAAGCGCTCTACCATCACCTCATCCCACGCCGCTGAACCCAGTCCTCCCAACATCATGCTCCTTTTACCCAACCGCATCTTTCACCGTGCTCACTGTTCCACCAATTTCATGGGGGGTTTTTCCCATCCAGCTGAATGGTCTCCACCGTTGGACATGATCGTTCGAATGCCCTGATCTGTTGCTCGAATGTCATTGAAACTGCTGCATCTCCAACTGAGAGCTGCTGGCACAGTCCACGACCTTGTGCCTCAGTGATGCCAGATGACAGTGGTGGGTCTGAGGACGGTTGTCCATCGATGCTCCCCACAGATTGTGTTCTTTCTGTTACGGGAATGGGTTCCAGGGAACCCAACCTGAGCCGTTCGGCTCACTAATGGAGGTGGCTGCGTAGCCATCGGAGGGAGAGCGGAATGGTGTCTGGCAGTGTAACCTGTGTGTCGGCCAACGGTAACTTGGCGCTCCTGGGAGCGTACCGGTAGCGAGTATGATGCGGGCTCCTTGAGGGAGCTGCCTGGCTGTCTGCTAACGGGGACTTGGCGCTCCTGGGAGCGTGCCGGTAGCGGGTGTGCTGGGAGTGTGTGGCTAGCGGTGGCTTGGCGCTCAATGGAGCGTACCGGTAGTGAGGGATACTGGGACTCCCAAAGGGAGTCACCCAGTTGGTGGCTATCGGTGACTTGGCGCTCATGGGAGCGTACCGGTAGCGGGAGTTGTTGGGGAAAGCGGGCTGGTGGACCAGTGCACGGTAGTGGGTGACCGTGGGAAGTGGGACCCGCGGGTGCGTGGCCAGGCATCCTGGAGCTGCCTGGACCGTATCCTTCTCCTGAGGAGGTGGGATAGGTTACAGTTCCTGATAGGGAACTTCTGGTTGGATGGGAGTAACCACTCGACCACCCGGTAGACTGGTGGGAGTGGGCAGCAGGAGGTTGGGCGTGGGAATGCCCACCTCGTTGCGGTTTTGTCATGGAGAGGAGGAATAGGGAGGTGGACATGATTCCAGGGTTACAGGTTGAGTTTACAGTGGTGACACAATGGTGAGGATGTTACAATCGCGGTACAAGGTTTGTGGGTTATGTATTTGACAATGAGAAAACAATTCCGGCAACTGCCTTACATGTCATATGACTCATAACTATCTAATATAAATATTACAATGATCAAGGGAAATCCCTTGAAACTCAACAAATCCCCCAGCCAGCACCAAAACCCAGTGGGAAAGCTTGGCATGGGGTTTGACAGCGAAATAAGGTGATGGAATCCCAAAGTCTGCTTGCCTATAGTCACGGACCATAAGATTCTAGATCCGTTTCTATAACACTTTCCGATGGAATCCTTTGAGGGACGTTGTTGGCAGTTTCATTCCGCTTGCGTGACTCAGCTCTGTGTCCTAAAGTCTAAGTGGAGCATCCTAGTGGACACGACTGTTCGAATACCCCATTCGTTGCTCGACTGTCACTGAAACTGCTGCATCTCCAACTGAGAGCCGCTGGCACGGTCCATGACCTTGTGCCTCAGTGATGCTAGACAATGGTGGTGGGTCTGAGGATGCTCGTCCATCGATGCTCGCTGTGGATTGTATTCTCACACGGAATCCTTTGAAGTGCGTTTTTATTCCACTCTCGTGACTCAGCTCTGCTGAGTAGTCTCTAGTAGGGATACGGAGAGCATTCTAGTGGACACTGCCGTTCAAATGCCCCATTATCTGTTGCTCGACTGTCACTGAAACTGCTGCATCTCCAACTGAGAGCCGCTGGCATGGTCCATGACCTTGTGCCTCAGTGATGCTAGACGACAGTGGTGGGTCTGAGGACGGTCGATGCTTGCTGCGGATTGTATTCTTTCCGATGGAATCCTTCGAGGGGTGTTGTTGGCAGTTCACGCCCCAGTGACTCAGCTCTGCTGAGTACACCTCCTGAAGATGTCAAGTGGAACATCCTAGTGGACACGACCGTTCAAGTGCCCCATTCTCGAATCTCTGTTACTCGACCATCACTGAAACTGCTGCATCTCGCCACTGGCACAGCCCATGGCTTTGTGCCTCGGTGGTGGTGGGTTTAAGCATGGTCGTCCATTGACGCTCTGTTCGGT